AGCATTCCTAGGTTAGTACTTTGTGTATATGCAGTAGAAGTGCTGACTACAATGATTCTAGGCATTAGATAGTACGAATGATATGGGTAGAAAGACCGTTTCAAAGCCAAATGGTATGTGTAAAGAGAAGAGATCACACCTTCTTGTGTATGTGGCTTCTAAATTATTCACATTTGAGCTAAAGATCTCACTTCTACTAAATTTAGAAAATGATTTTAGTATCATTAACAGAGATTCTGCAACTCTAATTCCTCCTGAAACTTAGGGAAACATGTGGCGGTTGATAAATTAGAAGAGAATGAGAAGCAAGAAAACATGGAACACCTTGTTTTTTTCACTAAGTCTCTTACCGTTTCTTGTCTTTGACCTTTGACAAGTTCTTGACCTGTACTTGCTACTCCACCCTATATATTAACCAAATCGAGAATGATTTTGTCATTATCAATTACATGTATCTATAATAGAACTAACTTCTTCCACACGTTATAACATACTAATCCCCTTAGCTAAACATAGTAAATGACTATCTTGTCAAATCCTTTGTATTCGAAGGTGGAGATCTCTTCTTCATCCATCTCCTCCTCTGTCTAAAACACCAAACTATCTTACCTATCTTTCTATTCCTTCCTTTCCTTTTACACTTTTAGCCTACGCTTATATACAAATCATATCTGTAAAAAAAAAAAAAAAATATCTGTGTGGATACACATATCTCTGCATCTGCTGGTTATTTAAAGGAATCTGTTACCTCTTCCTTCATCTTGTATCTTTTTGTCCTAATTCTAACACAGGAATCACAGATCGTTTGGTAGAGACAATGCAGAAAGTTTGCTGGCCTTACTTTGATCCTGATTTTGACAATCTTGGTGAACGCATTTACGGTCCACCGTAAACTCTCTACTCTCTTCCTCTGTTTCATATCCTATGAACAACAAATTTTCATTACCATCTCATTTTTTTGGTGTGTTTGTGTGTAATCTACAGATGCAGGGTCTACATCGACAATGATAGCATCCAAGATTGCACCGTTGTGAAGGTACGCTCACAAGGTTGCATGAGTTTATAGATATTGTAGGAAAACATATTGGATCCAATGGTTCTTGTGTGTTGTGGTTAATAATGAATAGGTGAATAGTGAGAACAAACAAGGACTTCTTCTAGAAGTGGTGCAGATCTTGACAGACATGAATCTTATCATCACCAAGAGTTACATCTCTTCTGATGGTGGATGGTTCATGGATGGTACGCATCTATCCACCTTTCCTCATTCTGTATAATCTGATTAGTCTAAGAGATTAACTTGCTTTTTTTTTGCAGTTTTCCATGTCAAAGACGAGCATGGAAGTAAACTCACTGATAAAACCGTCATCAACCACATCAAACATGTTCGTCACACACTTAGATCTTGACTAAAACCGATGTTTTCCTTGATTTGAGTGTTCTGAGATTTGTAATGTAGGCCATTGGCACGAGTAGGCGAGAGTCTGATTCTGTAAAGGCCAATGAAGCCAATGAAAATGCAAAACTAAATCCTTTGGAACCTCCATTGATTGATCACGGTGAGCACACAGCAATAGAGATGACTGGAACAGACAGACCAGGCCTCTTCTCAGAGATATTCGCTGCTTTCGCTGACTTACATTGCAACGTCTTAGAAGCTCACGCTTGGAGCCACAACGCTCGTTTAGCTTGCATTGCCTACGTCTCTGACGACAGTACTCACGCTCCCATCGATGATCCAAGCCGCTTAGCTTCCATTGAAGACCACCTCAGTACTGTGATCCGCGCCACAGCCGATCCAGCCGCCAACTCAACTCACGTGGGTCACAAGGAGAATGAAACAGATAAGTTTCTTGCTGGACAAGGAAAAGGGTGTATGAACTCCAACGTGGAGAGAAGATTGCATCAGCTGATGCTCTCTGTGAGAGACTTTGACGAACCGTTCTGTGGTAGTACGTCGTTGTCGCTGTTTTCTTCCAAGTTGGAGTATTGTGAGAGGAAGACGACGAGTGTTTCTATTGGAAACTGCGAAGATAGAGGCTATTCGATAGTGACGGTGAAGTCTAAAGACCGTAGAAGACTCATGTTTGATACGATCTGCACGTTGATTGATATGCAATACGTTATCTTCCACGCTGCTCTCAGGTCTGATGGAGCTGATGCTTTTCAGGTAAGACAAGAACATAGCATGCATCTCTCTAGATTAGTTCAATCTTTAGGGTTTTGATGTTTATGTAAACCTTGTAGGAATACTTCATAAGACACATAGATGGACGTGCCTTGAACACTGAAGGAGAGAAAGAACGTGTGATTAAATGCTTGGAAGCTGCTATAGAACGTCGTGTTTGCGAGGTAAAAGAGAAAAGACCTTCTTAACGTTTCTTGTTAAGAATGGTAAACAAAGTTGTGGTGTATGTGTGGATAATGCAGGGGGTGAAGTTGGAGTTGTGTGCAGAGAACAGAGTAGGCTTACTTTCCGACATATCTCGTGTGCTACGTGAGAACGGTTTGACCGTTGTCCGTGCAGACGTGGAGACACAGGGACAGAAGTCTCTCAACGCTTTTTACGTCAGAGACATTTCCGGGAACAAGATTGATATGGAGTTTGTGGAGTCAGTGAAGAAAGAGATGAGACCTATCCACCTCGAGGTCAAGAATGAAGACAGAGTCGCGGCTCATGAACAGCCAGCCTTGGCTGCAGCACCGCCACCGCAACCGCAAGCCCACCGTTTCTCTCTCGGTGAGATCCTACGGTCGCAAATCGGAAGACTTTCTCACAGATGATCAAATAGTTTACTAGAGTTTAGTTATGGTATAAAGATTAGAAAAAAGTTGCAATAATTCACCATTGGTTTTATAGTAATAACACCAAATGTATGTTTCTCACTTATATCTAGACGTTATGGTACTACTACACATGAGGTATGTGTTAAAAGAAAAGCTAACAAAATGTTTTATTTTTTTTCAATATGACCTAATGATCTGTTCTTCCTTACGTGAGCCTCAAGTTAAGCCTACGTAGCCAAATGGAGTGAAGTATCATGTGAAACGCATCGTACCTCTTAGGTGGATCGTTGAGCTCGAAATGTCTCCTCACGTACCTCAAATTACGTTTAAGCCTTTGGTATTTCTCATCGGATATTGACATGAGAATCTCCTTCAGCCTCGGAATCTCTGAGACGTTGACCTGTACAGAGAAAGTCTCCCAACGAAGGATATCACTGAAGGGTAAGACAAAGTTAACGGAGAGGATGACGGGGATGCACTCGGAGTAGATGGCTTCGGTGAGTCTAGGGCTAGCTACTTCGTAGCCACTAGGACAGAAACAGAACTTTGAGCTTCTCATGAAGTCGTAGTAGTTTAAGTGTTTAGGAAGGTATTCGAAAACAGGCATGTCCGGGTCACGTTGTTTCCAGTGGTGTAATAGAGTGGGACGGATCGGACCGTGGACTCCACCTGCGAAGAAGGC